AACACTCATGGAAACAGCAGTCAAGAAATCAAATGGCATATTGCAGTGGATAAATCTGCCGTAAAAGACCTCTTTAAAATGCCAAGGAGCAAAGACATCACTTTGAAGACTATGGTGTGCCTGACCCAAGCCATGGTATTTTCAGTACCCTCATATGCATGTGACTTCTGGACAATAAATAAAGACAACCACAGAAGAATTGATGCACGTAAGCCCTGAACATGTCAAGGACTGCTAGAACACACACACACACACACACACACACACACAAAACCCACTGCTATCAAGTCAATTCTGTCTCACAGTGACTGTATGATACAGAGTAGAACTACTCCATAGAATTTCCAAGGCTATAAATCTTTATAGAAGCAGAATGCCTCATCTTTCTCCCCCGGAGCAGCTGGTAGGTTCAAACCATCAACCTTCTGGTTAGCAGCTCAATGCTTTAACCACAACATCAAGAATGAATAAATCTCTCTTGGAGGAAGTACAACCAGAATGCTCCTTAGAAGCAAGAGTGGCTAGACTTCATCTCTCATACTTTGGTCATGTTGTCAGAAGGCACCATTCCCTGGAGAAGGATATCACACTTGGTAAAGTAGGGGATCAGCAATAAATGGGAAGATCCTCAACAAGATGAATTGACACAGTGACTGTGATGATGGGTTCAAGCATGGAAACAGTTGTGAGGATGGCACAGAACCAGGCAGTGTTTTATTCTGTTGTACATAGGATTGGTATAAGTTAGAATTCAAAGGCTCCTAAGAGCAACAGCAACATTCTTTAAATATGTACTCCCATGGTAAAAGATCTGAAATTCTAATTCTGCATAATACTACCCAAAGAAGGATGTCTGGGGCACTGGAGAAGTAGAAAGAAAGGGTGTGATCTAAACTGGAATGGATCTTATCAGAGATTCACTGGGCTCAGGGCTATCAATCCTCCTTGCTTTGCAAATTAGCAATAAACCATAGGCACCGTTCAGAGTTAACAGAGGATTCTACCTGTCCTTTTGTGAGCCTTTACTTCTCCTCTCAGCTATCCCACTTGGCCTGTTTACCTTACAAGGAAGAGGATTTACCTTACAAAGAATTTCCTGGTGCTCAAAGCAGCTCCTGGGCCTCTCTTTATAAATAATGCCATTTATTCATTCATTCAGTCAGTCAGTCAGTCTGTAAGTCTATAACTGTCAATTCACTGAACAGCTAGCTACTACACTTTGAATGTATGGGGAGTGGATATGGATCCATGGTGAGAAGGATCTAGTGAAGGCACTGTTGGTGGGGTGGTGACTGATTCTGAGAAGTGGCTCCCAGCTGTGGAGCCAGTAGGTGCTGCAAACATTTAGAGGTGTGTGGCAGAGGTGGTAGTGATGGGGTGGATGGAATGAGGAGGAGGAACCATATGCACAGCTGGGTTTTAAGCATGAGTTGAATTTTCCAAAGTCCACACCTAATAACAGATTGTGCTTGGGGGCAAGTCTGAATTAGTGACCTAAGTTTCTTGTTATGTTGATCAGAGGAAATTTCTGACATAAGGACTCAGGGAATTCCATGTATCCCATGTAAGCCTCATGACAAGGAGAATCTTAAGGATCTGACCATCATGTCAGACAGACCCATGAACAGAGGGAACACTGAGGCAGGTGCTTAGAGGCTACCTACCTGACTGCCATCCCAATGTCTTCATTGATGGAGTCCCTTTGTCCCTGCCACTATGCCATCCTGAGACCCCATCCAGGGTGAAAGCAACTCAGATTCCATGCAGGCATTTTAGACTTTACTTTTCTCTCCCAGACCCTGGTCCACTGAGTGATAATAAACTGAGTGAATTGCTTATTTCCACCTTTGCTAATAAGTGCACCCTTCTATTTCTAGCAGAGTTAGAAATAGCTAATGTTTATCCCCAGCGCCACTTAAAGCAATAAGCAGCTTTATTCCTATTTTAAAAGATTAATCTGAGCAAAGACTAAGTGCTTATCAAGAAGGCAATGCCCTTTCTGTCTTCTCAAATTGCCATTCACATAAAGCTTTTCCAAAACTATGAGTGGGCCCAGATCTAAGTCTCCAGAGTCTAAACTGCCCTGTTTCCATATTCAATCATTTTCTTGCCTAGGTTTTCCTCTATAGGCACTGGAGAGAAATTGGAGTTAAAATAAAGGAAAATCTAGGCTTTCTGTGTTGGATCTTTTTTCTCATGAAGTTTGATGTTTGACCTTGGTTGAGTTATTTCACCTCTCTTGGCCTCACATGGCCCATTCGTCACTTGAGAAACATAGACTAGATGATTTCTCAGGTCATTTAAACTCAGTGGCTCTGAACTATATTTCATCTCTCACTCTAAGAAGTTCCTGGTCCGTTGGTCCCTTTCTCTTCTAGAATAAGAGGCATGACTGACATATATTAGGTGCTCCATTACTACTTATGGAGTGAATGGATAAATAAATATTACTATGAGAATAACAGTGACTTGAGCATGGATGGGTTTAACCTTCAGAAAGCCCCCAAGAATTACAAAGCCAAAGAAAGAAGGAAAACTGCAGTCAGAGTTAGAGTAGGCAAGAGGTGGGTCCGGATTCAGTACTGAAGAATTCATGGATGGGCTTGGGATGAAGGTAACTAGAAAAAGCTCCAAGGTTTCCAGGTGGGGATAGTGTATAGTTGGTTAGGAAGGGAAAGGGTCAAGACCAGATGACTGGATGGAGTGGAGAGAAGAGGTTATCCCAAAAGACAGAAAAAAACCAAACTCACTGCCTTTGAGTCGGATCTGACTCATAGTGACCCCTCCTTGGGTTTCTGAGGTGGTATCACTAAGAAAGTAGGTTGTCCAACCTTCCTTCCAAGGAGTAGGTGGTGGGTTTGAATCTCCAGGCTTCTTGTTAGCAGTCAATTGCCTTAGGCATACCACCAGAGCTCCCAAAAGACAGATTAGCTCTTGAAAATCTCTGAAGTAGGGGAAGGGTGAAGGTGTGGTTGATGAAAGGAAAGCAGGTTTGCCCAGCTTAACAACTGACAGGGAAGGGTGGGGTTGGGGGGAATGTTCTGTGAGTAATTCTTAATGTGTATAGTTCAATGGGGTTGGGATAAAACGGGGAGACTGATGTAAGGGTCTTGGGTCCCTCAGATGAGGAGTCTATAATTCATCAATTCCATTGCTTCCCACATCCAGTTTAACTAAGGCAAAAAGCTCATGTCTATCTCCACTCCACTAGTTCTTTTCCCTTTCCTATCATGTGCCCCCAACCCATTCTATCCCACAGAACATGGAGGAATAGCCAACCCAATGAAAAGGAAACAGGTCAGTAGCAAGACCACACAATGACTCAGATTATCCCCCAGGGTTAATTCATCAAACCTATTAAGAAACCCTTTTCTCATCCCTACCCCAACACAAGCTCAGTTCCACTCGGGTCTAAGGGGAGGGTGGCAGTAAGAAATAAGTCCAGGTGACATCATCGTTGGACAATCGGTGCCAAAAAAATCAAGTGGGTGGTTTTTCATCACAATAGCTGAGCCAACAGGTAATTGAGGAGAGTGGGGTGAATCATGTTTGACAGGAAAAGAATGAAAACAGAGTGGCCCAGAGTGATTCTATTTCCTCGAGGCAGGGCTTATTCAGTGTATAAAAGCCAGCTGGCCATGGACTTCACACCAGAACTGAGCGACCAGACAACCTATTTTTCTTTGTGCACCAGGTGAGTCTCTGATTTAAAATAATTTGGTGTTCTTATTTATCTTTCATTTTGGAAAATGGACAAAAATGAACATGCTGAAGAGGCCAATATAAGGTGTTCACTACAGTTAGAGAATATGAGAATATCTTTATTTTAAACAAAAGCATAATTTGGGCTTAAAGGGACCTTAGAGATGGGTAAATCTGCTACTTCAGTATACAGCTGTAGAACGGGGGTCAGGGAAGGGGAGGGATCTGTGCATGGCCCTACAGTGAGTTAAGAGCAAGATTAGGACTAGTACTCAGGCACATAGCACTTTCAGCAACTCAGTTCCCTCTGGTTATGACATTTGTTGTACAGAGATTTTAATTCTTTCAACAGATCTCTAAGGCAATGTACTGAGCACTTTGGGTAAATCAGACCAATATGGAACTCACTTAACAAACTTCAACCCATCAGGGAAGATAACTGTTGTTGATAGCTACCACTGAGTTGGCCCTCTACTCATGGTGATTTCATGCTCAATGGAACAAAACACTGTTTTGTCCTGCATCATCCCCATAATCAGTTGTCAATTGAATCATTATGATCATAGGGTTGTCAGTGGCTGATTTTTGGAAGTAGATCACCAGTGCTTTCTTTCTACTAGAAGATCATTCATCCTCATATCATTCATATGAGATCATTCATTTTGGGTGAAATGCAGAGTAGTTCACGGTTGATAAAAGGAGATAGGGGCAGGGTGGGACTGTGTTAGTCTAGGGAAGACTTGCTGCAGAAGAGAATCCTAGTGGTGCCACATAATGCAAGATATGATAGAGCAGCATTTAGAGAAGCAACAAAGAGAAGGAAAGCATTTCAGTCTGAGGGGAATGTGTGAACAAAGACTGGAAGTGAAATCATAGGGGCTTAGGTAAATACAGAATTGTTCTATCAGTGACAAGTCATTGTGTTCCTATGAGTTTGTAGACTATACTTGTTTTGTAGTATTATTTTCCAAAATACTTAATATGAGGGCTTCTTATCTTTCTCTGAAGCTAGCTTTCTTGGTGTATTTTTCAATGTGAGTTGAGCCACATGTCAGGAAAATAGGTAGCCAAGAAATTAACCCATTCAAATGGGGTTAAACAGATAGCTTTTAAGCTCCTAGCTCCTTCTCTTGAAATGGCTCAGAAATTAGCAAAGCATTTTCCACTCTCAGATTTAGAGGGACATCTAGGGGAGAGGAGAAGCTCTGTCTTTCAAAGGATCCTACAGTGAGGTGTGTGTGGTATTGAAGATGGCTTCTTCCCTAGTTAATACCTGTTTAACTAAATCATCTCTTTTTATCTCAAGGGACAACCACCTTTGAAGCATGAGCTCCCAGCAGCAGAAGCAACCTTGCACCCCACCCCCTCAGGTTCAGCAGCACCAAGTGAAACAGCCTTGCCAGCCTCCACCCCAAGAACCCTGTGTCCCCAAAACCAAGGAGCCATGCCACCCCAAGGTGCCTGAGCCTTGCCACCCCAATGTGCCTGAGCCCTGCCACCCCAATGTGCCTGAGCCCTGCCACCCCAAGGTACCAGAGCCCTGCCCCTCAACAGTTACTCCAGCACCAACCCAGCAGAAGACCAAGCAGAAGTAAAGGGGAGCACAGCCATGCCCTGGAGGAGCCAACCACCAGATGCTGAGCCCTTTTCCCATTCTCCTTATGAGTCTTACAAATAGTATGTTGTCACCCTGAGTCACAGTCCATCTCTCATTTGCGCTCTTTCAAAAGATTTTCCTCACATTCATTCTGGAAGGTTTCTTGAGCTTCTGAATAAGGCTGGGGTCTCACTGGATGAGCTAGTCTTCCAGTTGCTCAGAGATTTGGGAGGGATCAAGTGATTTTTCCCTGCTCTGCCTCCATTAAATCATGTTAAATCACACCTGGCTCTGTGTGTCATTGGTTAACTCACCCTTTTCATTGTTCTCTCAAAGCAGGAACTGTGCACAGTGAGGGGTTGGTTGTAGTCAGAAGGTACCTGATCCTGGTGTGTGTGTGTGTGTGCCTGTTGTGCACAGAAAACTTTCTTGCGCTGCCAATGGGAGATTATGAAAGGCCACTGAGACCCTGCTACTTTGGGCAGCCTGGCCTAGAGCAGTGCCTTCTCCTTGCACCTAGGTGAGTCTTGCCTGAGTTTAGTTGGTGGCTACTTCAGGTCATCTCTAACTCTGAGTACCTTGCCTCCAAATCAACCTATTCTGTTCAGTTGATTCCTTTTATTATTATCATCCTGAAGAAATATTGTTCATACATGTTCCAGCCTGATTATCAGTTCTTCTTCAGGACACTTCCATTTCTGACTTCACATTCACACTCCTAGACACAAACACACTCTCAGACACCGATCTGCCTGCACACAGAGACACAGAGATATATACCTACACACAGTCACACACTCTCACACACACAAACACATAGATCCCCCAAATCACACACATATAGATACTTTGATTTAATCCCCTTAGTCAGTCTTTTTCTTTCATGAGTACCAATTGTGAAGACACCCATTGTTGTAGCAGGAAGATGGAGAGAGAATTCGTAGTCCTTTCTAGGAGTAGCCTAAGAGAGAATGTTCTGGTTACCTAGGCTGCTCTGACGAGAATGTAACACAAACGGGCTTCTTGAACAACAGTTTATTCTCTTACAGTTTGGAGGCTTTAAGTCCAAGTTCAAAGTGCCAGGCTCTAGGGGCTGAGTGAAAGCCCCACAACCTTGGGGTCCAGCTCTACCTCCTGCTCCTGGCCCAATGGAGCTAGAGGCACTTCTTCACTCAGACAGCTGCTGGTTGCTGAGGCTGAGAAGCCCAAGGTTGACAAGTAAAAAGTCACAATCCTGATGTTACCAAACCAAATGGCAGGCCATTAATTTAAGTTCATTATAAGTCCCAACTTCAGCAGAGCATGGCAGGCTGCTGAACAACAACACGGCTACACACAGGGTCCAAGCATGCCATAAGCTAGAGACCATTCCCAAAGCTGCTTCTTATGTATGGGAAGCAGACCACATTCCAAAGGCAGCTACTCAGCTGCTTGTGGTAGATCCCACCATGGAGTTGATTGCCAGTCTCATCATGGGGAATAACTACCACCAGCTGCCCAGCCACTCGACCAGGCCCAGCCAAGTTGACACACAACATAACCGCCACAGAGATGATCCTTCACCACCTTCCCATACAAATATACACTCATGCAAAAGCATACATATGTTCTCACTTTCTTACTCTCTCTACACACACACACACACACACACACACACATGTAGGGTCCCTCTCAGAGTAGAACATAAAAGCAGATGTCTCAAATGAAGAGAAAAAAGAATAAAATATAAAAGTATAAGCAGTTCTCAGTAGGAGGAGAGAGTGACTGATAAGAAAAAAAGGCCAGCCATAAAGTTGAGGAAGAGCAGGTCATTAAAATATATACTGTCATGGGTGAGAGGAGGCTTATAAATAGCACTTAATACAGCCGCTCCATTCTCCAGAAAAAGAAACTAATATCCAGAAAGGAAAGACAATTAAGGTCACCCACAAATGGACAGATTTTGGTGGAGCTTCCAGCCTAAGACTGACTCAGAAGAAGAAAGAGGCCATACACTTCTCAAAGAATTGGCCAGTGAAACCTTATGAATATCAGTGAAACACTGTCTGACATATTACTGAAAAATAGCCCTGAAACATTATGTAATATAGTGCCAGAGAATGTGTCCCTCAGGGCTGAAGGTACTCAAAATATGACTAGGAAAGAGACGCCTCCTCAGAATAGAGCTGACCTAGATGATGTGAATGGAGTAAAGCTTTCAGGACCTCCTTTTGCTGATGTGGCACAACTCAAGATAAGAAGCAGCAGCTACAAATATCCATTAATAATTGGAACACGTAATGTACAAAGTATGAATCTAGGAAAATTGGAAGTTGTCAAAAATGAAATGGAATGCATAAAGATCAATATCCTAGGCATTAATGAGCTGAAATGTGTTGGTTTTGGCCATTTTGAATCAGACAACCATATGATCTACTATGCTGGGAATGACAAATTGAAGAGGAATAGAATGGCATTCATCATCACACAGAATCTGTCCTGATGTGCAATGGTGTTAGTGATAGGATAATATCCATACGCCTATGAGGAAGACCAGTTAACATTACTATTATTCAAATTTATGCACCAACCACCAAAGCCAAAGATGAAGAAATTGAAGATTTTTACCAATTTCTGCAGTCTGAAATCGACTTAACATGCAATCAAGATTTGTTAATTATCACTGGTGATGGGAATGCAAAAGTTGGAAACAAAGAAGAAGCACTGGTACTAAGAAAATATGGTTTTGGTAATAGAAATGATGCTGGAGATCGCAAGATAGAATTTTGCAAGACCAATGACATATTCATTGCAAATACCTTTTTTCAAAAACACAAATGGTGGCTATAAACTTGGACTTCGCCAGATGGTGTACACAGTAATCAGATTGACTACATCTGTGGCAAGAGGCAATGGAGAAGCTCAATATCTTCAGCCAAAACAAGCCAAGGGGCTGATTGTGGAACAGACCATCAACTGCTCATATGCAATTCAAGTTGAAACTGAAGACAATTGAAACAACTTCACTAGAACCAAAGTATGACCTTCATTTTATCCCTCCTAAATTTGTTGTTGTTGTTAAGTGCCGTCGAGTCGTTTCCAACTCATAGCGACCCCATGCACAGCAGAACAAAACACTGCCC